TTATTTTTTTTGTTTTATTTTTTTATATTATTTTTCTGTTCTATTCTATTCATTTTATTTTGCTTTATTTTACTTTATTTTTATTTATTTATCCTATTCTGTTCCATTCACTTTATTTTACTTTATTTTGCTTTATTTTTTTTATGTAATTTTATTCCATTCTGTTCTGTTCATTATATTTTGCTCTATTCTATTCTATTCTATTCTACTCTATTAATTTCATTTCACTTTATTATTTTACTTTATTTTATTTTTTTAATTTAATTTTACTTTGTTTTACTGTATTTATTTTAACTTAATTTAGTTTAATTTAATTTAATTTAATTTAATTTCATTTCATTTCATTTCATTTCATTTCATTTCATTTCATTTCATTTCATTTCATTATTTCGTTTCGTTTCGTTTCGTTTCATTTTGTTTCCCCACCCAAGGCTTCCAAGTGATGCTGACCCGGCTCTCCTCACCCTCACTTTTCGGGAACGACATCAGCACAGTCCTGCTCACGGCGCAGTACCAGACCCCAAACCGCTTCCACTTCAAGGCGAGTCTAGGCACAGCGTTGGTCTGGCCGGTACCCGAGGGAGCTGCCGTGGGGTGACAAAAGCCGGTTAATTCCCTTTTTCGCCCCACAACTACCACCAAAACACACCCTCGCGCTTCCAAGGAGGAACTTTGCGCCGGGAGAGGTGGTTTTGTACCTGGAGGAGCAGCAGGATTTGTGCGTGAAAAATTGCAAATACTTTTAAAAAGGTCAAATTTTATCTTCTTTCCATTTTTTTACCCCCTTCGTTGGAAAACGACTTTTTGGGCCAAACACGTTCATTTACTTTGATCTCACGGTTGCTTTGGCAAAAAGCTTTGGGACTCCCAAAACTGCGGAAAATTCAGTGCCTGGTGTCTAGCCGAGGTGCCAAAATCCGCGGATTTTTTTGGGGTGGACAGGACTGCTGGGTTCTTCTGTTGGGTTTTTGTTTGTTGGTTTGTTTTGTGGAGTTTGTTATTTTTCTTTTTTTCTTTCTTCCTTTCTCTTTTTTACCTTTTCTTTTTTCTTTTTCCTTTTTTTTACTTTTTTCTTTTTTCTTTCTACTTCTCTTTTTTACTGTTTCTTTTTTCTTTTTTCTTATTTTTCCTTTTTCTTTATTTATTTTTTCCTTTTTCTTTTTTCTTTTTTCTTTTTCCTTTCATCTTTTTTCTTTTTAGTTTTTAATTTTTTTAACTTTTTTCTTTTTCCTTTCTTCTTTTTTTTCTTTGTTTCTTTATTTCTTTTTTTCTTTTTAATTTTTCTTTTTCCTTTTTAATTTTTCTTTTTCTTTGTACTTTTTCCTTTTTTCTTTTTGCTTTTTGCTTTTAATCTTTTTTCCTTTTCCTTATTTTTTTTTTTTTTTGTTCTTATTCTTTTGCCCCTTTTTTGCTTTTTTGTATTTTTTGGGGGCTGGAGGGTGCCACATATTTTCCTGCCCAAAAATCCATGTCAAACTGAGTTTGGTTCCACCCAGCCAAGGCAGGACGTGCACAAATACCGCAAATGAGATGCTGGAGAAGTCTTGGGCGATGCCTACAACCACAGTTGGGCAGAATTCTACCTGCAGCAGATTCCCCAGGGGAGAAATACCCTCAGATCAAGAAATAATGGGAAATACCCCCGTATCGACCCAAATAAAGAGGCTGAGTAGGTCTGCACAGTCTTCATTTTGCCATTTATTGATGTTGACCACTTCTTGCCGTGATGATGTTTGGACAATGGTTGGGTATTTTTTCACCAAGTTGAATTTGGATGATCGTGCTGGAAAGTGTTCAAATAAGGCATCAATTTCCCAATTACATATTTTGTTCTTTAAACTGATTTTGTTCTTTAACATGCACAGATCACCGATCCTAAAACGCAAAGGTTTGAAGTCCCCCATGAGCACGTGGGACCTTTCAGTGGTTCGGCAGCCTCCAACTTAAAATATAAAGTCGATATCCAGCGAAATCCCTTTGGCATCAAGGTGACCAGGGCAAGCAACGGAAAAGTTTTGTGAGTAAATTTTGGGCTTTTTATCCTTAAAATCGAGATGCCATCTGTTTTCTCTGAAAGTTTGCATTGCTTTAGGTACCCTCTTGGGCATGCAACAGCTTCTTCTCTTCTTGTGATGGATAAACAGGATGGAATGGCTCTTTCCACCTGAAATCTGAGAGATGGGAAAGTCTGTCTCCTGGGGTTTAGGTTTTGCCATCTTCTTTTCGTGGATAAGCAAGATGGAATGGCTTTTTCCACCTAAAATCTGGGAGACGGGGAAGTCTGTCTCCTGGGGTTTAGGTTTTGCCATCTTCTTTTGGTGGATAAGCAAGATGGAATGGCTTTTTCCACCTAAAATCTGGGAGATGGGGAGGTCTATCTCACCAGGTTGTGGTTTTGCCATCTTCTTTTGACAGAGAAGCAAGATGGAAAGGCTTTTTCCACCTAAAATCTGGGAGATGGGGAGGTCTGTCTCACCAGGTTTGGATTTTGCCAACTTTTGGTGGATAAGAGGAATGTAAAGGCCTTTTTGCACCTGAAATCTGGGAGGTGGGGATGTCTGCCTCACCAGGTTTGGGGTTTTGCCACCTTGGCTCTGTGCCCTCTTCTCCCCTTAATGCCTTGTGCCATCCATTCACCAATTACAACGAGAAGTCCTTCCCAGCATCACCTTTCACCTCATCCTTCATGTTTTATTTATGATGGTCCTCCTGGAGGTCTCAGCCTGCTAAATCAGGTCGTGCTTCGGGCATGTGGTAGGAGACCATTTGGTCCAAACCGGCGCTAAGCTGGTCTTAGATAAATAGAAGTAAAATATTCCAAGTGCTTCGATACTGAAGGATTTTATTCTCATTGTTTTCTAATGCTCCCACCCTCCAAATCTTAAGAAAACAAAACAATTTTAACTGATTTAAAGGAGGTTTCTGCCTCAGTGCAGGGCTGTTAACACAACTTTGTTTTCTTTTTTACTTTTTTCTTTTCTTTTTAATTGATTTTATCAATTAATTTTATCCTGACCGCCAGCAGGAGTCAGATTGCTATCAACTCTTCATATTTAATTAATTAGGATTTCCTTTTTCCACTGTTACCAGCATTGTTTACTTTCTTAAAAGCCTCTCTAAAGACCGATTTACATTTAGCGAGTGCATGAAACACAGAGCGGGTGGTCAGGACCAGTTTGGTTGGCACGTGGAGGGGAGAAGAATGTAATTCAGTGGGACCCATTTGAAACAGCACCCTAGAGGATTGTTTAAATTTTCCACGGGCTTTCATCTAATTTGGAAAAAAACAAAAAAATTACTTTTTATGGTTTTAAAGAAAAAAAGTCTCAATAATTAATTAAATAATAATTATTCTTAATGAAATAT